AGGGCAAGGCTCTGGATTTCAGCTCCAGGTTGGAGACTCCTTCCTCAGGGTAAACATGGTATTTGAAACCTTGAGACTGAAACAAATGATCAGGGAGTATAGGTGAAAAAGAAGAAAGACCCAAGAATTGAGCTTTGCGACTCTCCAAGCAGCAGAAAATGAAGGCATTGTGGCTGGGGGCAGTGGCTTATGCCTGTTATCCCAGCACTTTGGGAGGCTGAGGCGGGTAGATTACTTGAGGCCAGGAGTTTGAGATCAGCCTGGTCAACATGGGGAAATCCTGTCTCTACTAAAAATACAAAAGTTACCTGGGCGTGGTGGTGCCAGCTACTTGGTAGGCTGAGACAGGAGAACCTCTTGAACCCAGGAAGTGGAGGTTGCAGTAAGCCAAGATTGGGCTGCTGCACTCCAGCCTCGGCGACAGAGCAAGACACAGTCTCAAAAAAAAAAAAAGGCCAAGTATGGCAGCCCATGCCTGTAATCCCAGCACTTTGGGAGGCTGAGGTGGGTGGATCATGAAGTCAGGAGTTTGAGACCAGCCTGGCCAAGATGGTGAAACCCCGGCTCTACTAAAATTACAAAAAATTAGCTGGGTGTGGTGGCGGGTGCCCGTAATCCCAGCTACTCAGGAGGCTGAGACAGGAGAATTGCTTGCACTCAGGAGGTGGAGGTTGCAGTAAGCTGAGATCACGCCACTGCAGTCCGGCCTGGGCAACAGAGCAAGACTCCGTCTTAAAAAAAAGCAGCCATGGTTAGTGGGAAGTAGAGGAGAAATAAGAAAATGAAGGAAGGAAGAGGGATGTGATGCAGAGGGATTAGTTGGGGCTGTGTGTGTTCATCAGATCAGAATCAGCATTGAGCCAAGTCAATGGTGGCCAAGGGACCTGTTTTCCCCACACCACTGTTCCTATCTGCCTGCCTCTAGCTGCGTGTGGTCAGAGTGGACTGAAGAGACGTAAGGCAAGGCCCTCAGCATCTTGCTGCATGCTCTAGCACTCCCTTTCATCAACATGCCCATCCCTGAGAGAAGTTTGGTCATGTACTCGACTAACAACTTGCTGAGTGTCTATGTAGGTGCCAGGCCCTGGTCTAGTCACTGAGGCAAATAAGCCAGACAGGGCCTGTGCCCTGATGGAGCCTATGCTCTAACAGGGGCGGGGCACATGAGAAACAACTAACAGATAAACAAGAGAACTTCTAACACAGGTCAGGTGTTCAGAGTGACTTGCTCCAGCGAGGGGATCACAAAGCCCTCTTCGAAGAGACCTAAATATGATGAAGGTGGGACAACCTCACACAGGAGCTTGCAGACCGTGGTGGAGAATTTGGGTTTTTTTTGAGACACAGTCTCGCTCTGTCGCCCAGGCTGGAGTGCAGTGGCGTGATCTTGGCTCACTGTAACCTTCACCTTCAAGCAATTCTCCTGCCTCAGTCTCCCAAGTAGCTGGGACTACAATTAGCCACAATGCCAGGCTAATTTCTGCGTTTTTAGTAGAGACAGAGTTTCGCCATATTGGCCAGGTTGCTCTCTACTGACCTCGTGATCTGCCTGCCTCAGCCTCCCAAAGTGCTGGGATTACAGGCGTGAGCCACCGCGCCTGGCCTGAGAATTTGGGTTTTTTATTTCAAGTGTGATGGAGAAGGCTTTGGTAGGTTTCAGCAGAGGAGTCTTGATCTGATTTACATTAAGCAAAAGTCACAGGGCTGGTCAGGTGGAGGATGCACTGTAGGTACAGAGGGGGTGCTGGGAGAAGAGCTGGCGGGCCATCCCAGCTCAGGCAACAGGGGGTGTATTTGACAAGGCTGGGCTTGGATGCGCACACTGGAGGCAGCCACACAAACTGAACACTTACTTGGATCGATGCCTATGCAAGGCCAAGAAAAGCTACCTATCAAAGAAACGTGTTTGGGAGGCACAGTCCTTGTCCTCAGCTTATTTCCTGTTTACTTATAATAGGTTGGTGCAAAAGTCATTGTGGCTTTTGCCATTACTTTTGCATTAACCGAATAGTAACCTCAGACTATACACAGAAAGGTGCCATGCAAACTGAACAACCACTGAGTCAGTGCATACCAGTGGCTAAATAAGTACAAAGGAGGAATTGGAAAAGAAGCACCCGGGGTGCCCCCTGGAAGGAGGAGTTGGAGCCTTCTTTAGATGGGCCAAGCATTCCATTTCTCCAGCAGGAGGGGCACTGCCTCCCCCTATCCTAGCCCTGTGACTTTTGATTAGTCTAAGAACCTGGCTCCAGGCTCCAGTTTCTCCACTCATTCTGAGCTGAGAGGCGGGTGACTCAGGGGAGGTTGCTCCCCAGCACGCAGCGTTCTTGGCTGGGAATGACTCATTACTTCATTCCCTCCCTCGCGAGTGACCCGGGGCCAATCCCTCAATGTGTCTACACCTCACTCTTCTCATCACACCGGGACAATTGCCTGGTGGAGTTTTTGGCTCCCCGGGCGCAGGGCTCCTGTCTGCCACTGTCCAGGTTCTTCCTGAGGCTGCTGATAGGGTCTGGAGGAGCCTAAAACCCTCGGGTAGACCCAAGGTCCAGGCCCTCCCCGTGCACTGAAAGGGGGTTTTAGTGCGTTCTTCTTTTAAATGCAGAGCCGTTCAACAGCATTTTGCACCGAATACAATTAGCAAGCATTCCTGTCTTGGAGGATTTTCTTTTGGACACCTCCTTGTTGTAAAAACTTGCTTGGGGAAAAAAAAAAGCAACTGAAGCAGGCCTCCAAAGACAGCAAAGCAGGGACCTGAGGTTCTGAGAAGAACGCGGGCGGAGGGTGACAACGGATCTCCGTCGCAAGGGGGACCTGGGCGGCTGGACGCCGGGGCTCCAGGGGACAGGGGGCTACCGGCTCAGGGCCCGGGGCCAGTGCTCTCTCTGCTCGCCCTGCGCAGCCGAAAGCCGGCACGGTGTCGAGGGGAGAGGATGCCCGGCAGCAGGGGGAAGGCAGGCTGCGGGTGCTCGCCCGGGTCAGAGACCCCGGCCCGCGCCGAGGAGCCCCGCACTTTCCAACGCAGCGGGTCGCAGCCCGGAGACGCCGGGCGTCCCCACCTCCCGCCTCCCGAGCTGGAGCGGCGCCCAGGGTTCTCCCCCGGCCCCGTCGCCTGAGTTTGCCGCCGGACTGGGACCCGCCAGGTGGATCCGGACAGGCGCACCCTGCTCTCCGCCCGGGACCCTCCCCCGAGCCCAGGCGGCCTCCGCGCCCCACCGGGCCCGCGCCCCTGATTACCTGCCCCGGAGTCACAGTCCGCAGCCCGGACGCTCCGAGGCGGGATCCGCGGAGCCCGGAGCCACATTCCTAGGGGAGGGGTCTCCATCTAGAGGGTCGCGGATCACGTAACCCGCCGGGAGGAGGAGACCGCGGGAGGCTGAGTAAACCAGGGGTAAAAAGTTGCATTTGGCTCATTCTTTTTTTTTTTTTTTTTTTTTTAATCGTGCTTCGACGCTGGTGGACTCGGGGACACGGCGTCCTCCCAGTTCCCGGAGCCCGACGGCCCCGGGGCGCTTTCCCAGGGCCAGAGGCACCTCTCCGGCCGGCGGGCGCGGTGCTGGTCTGCGGGGCCTTGAAGGCGCCCCGGCTGCCCGCGGGCTTCCTGGAAGCGGGGCCGCAGGAGCAGAAACGCTCACATCCACCCGCACAAATAAATCCGTGAGCAGCTCCGCGCCGCCAGCGGCAGGGAAACCGCGGGCTGATTCAATGCAGACGCGGGGCGTCTGCCCGGGCAGGAGCGCGGCGGGTCAAGAAGACCGGGCGTGGGGGCAGGGAGGCCGGGGCAGGAGAAAGAGAGAAAACCCCAAAGCCACGTTTCAAAAATGCGGGTGAATTTTCAATGCCGGCCGCCCGGGGGAGGGGTGGGGGCCGGGGTGCGGGCGCCGGGGCCGGCGGGCCACCCGGGGCAACTTTCCGGGCGGGAGGCGCGGCCGGAGGGGGCGGCGCCGGCGGCGGGAGGCGGGAGTCGGGGGCCGGGGGGAGTCACTTTAAAGGCTCTTTCTTACCCATAATGCTTTGTGGGGACGTTGACAAGTGGATCCAAGATGGCGTAGAAAGTAATGACAGGTAAGTCCTGACTTCCCCCTTCTCTGCTCCTGGGGCCGCTCCGCGAGCTCCCGGAGCCCTCCGGGGAGGGGACCCGACTACCCTCCGGTGTCCCGGTCCCGGGGCGCGGCGGCCCCGGGGCGGGCTGTGGGCCGGGGCGGCCCGCGGCGGGGCCTGGGAAGCGGGGCTCTTCGAGGCGAGGCCCGGACGCTGGGGCTGTTTACAGCTTCTTCCCCTACTCAGTCCCCGTCCCCTCCGCTGGGGGCCGCGGCGCCCTGGGCCCTGGCCGGGGAGGGGGCCTTGCACGCCGGGCCCGGGAGCCTGCAGGAGGTTTCTCCGGCCCGGGGCACTCTGGGAGGGGGACTCGAGCCTCCCTGCACGTTCCCCTCCTATGGGTCGCGGCTGGGGGTGGGGAGCGTGCGGGCCTCCCACGCCCCGCTCGATGCCCCCCTCAGGGCTCGGACTTCTGCCGGGTGGGGCGGGGGCCAGAGCTGGGGTCATCGGGAAAAGTGGGTCAGGGGTGCGCTCCCTCCCTCCCCCGCGGAGGGCTTTCGGCCCGAGATTCACTTTCTTCCCCCCTTTCCCCGCCCCCTCCTCGGAAATGCTCTTTGGCCCACAAGCACATCAACAAAAATAAAGATAGGCTCTCTTTTCCTGGAGATTCCTTGAGAGTACTCCAGTACCCTTTTCAAGGGCTCAGAGACTGCAGTCTTACCTAGAGAACTTTGATTCCTCTACCCCAAATTATTGGAGCCTTCTGCACCCTAGCCTTTGCTGAGAATCCTTCAGACAGGGCAGGAAGTCAGCCTCCTGTGATTCTTCTTGGATCAGGATCCTCAGGTTTTGTTTGCAGTTCAAAAATTGTCATTCCTTCTCCCTCACAACTTACACTTTTCAGGCAAATCATTAATATAATAAAGTGTAACTTCAGAGACAGTGGATTCCTGGAGCGGGGGAAGGAAGGAGGAGTTGTCTGTCTTGCCTAGTTTGTTCTTAATTTTGCTCTTTCTTAAACGCATATTAATAAAGTTTCCTCTCCTTCATTTCTTTCTGATTTTGAAAGTAAGGTCAGCCCGGGTTGAAAAGATAACTCTATTATGTTTTTTAGTTTTAAGAGCATGGTATAATCTATTCTTTTATCTTACTGAAAGGAAATGTTTTAAGGTCAAAAAAACACTCACTCGCAAAGCTACACACTGTACCATTTTTGTAACTTTCCATTTCAAATTTAGATGCCCTTTCACTTAAGGCTGATAAAATGTTTGCTACTGATAATGTCTGTTACTGGTGTTGTATAGACACATCTTTCTATTTGCCTCAGGAATTGGATGAAGTAATTGATCACTAATGAACTACAGTGCTGGTGAGATGTGTAAGGTGAGACTGCAGTTAAAAATTATTTCCTTTTTTTCCTTCTTTAATCAATCCGCAGGAGTAAGGCTGAAACTGAGTAATTTGGTGGGGCCATCTTTGTTTTCCAAATATATCACTCAGTCAAATGGGTCTGTGAGCAGGGCTAGATTTAGAAAGAAAAAATATGTTGAGTGTACCAATCTCTTCGGTTGCTCTAACATACTCAAACAGTGGTACTTACTAAGAGCCAAATGTTATTTGCAGCTATTCTTGATCAGTATCTTCACCAGAGGTAATTATAGTTTTCCTATTCAAATTTTCTTGCATAACTTTAATTGGATGCCTTAATTTTATTTGTGTTTTGGTTGTCTGTCACCTTCTGTACATTTAGTCCTGGTGATTGTTTATATGGATTTTGTGTATCCATGATTTGTGGGACTCTTGTAAAGTACACCCTTTCCATTGGAAAGAATTAGGCGGGTCAATCACTCCAGCTTTTATTTTCTGAAAAATGGAGTAGTGCTTGTTTCTTTAATAATTATTTTGAAATAAAGATGATGGTGTGGAGATCTGTTTAGCTTATTAGGGATAAGACTAGTTTGTCATTATGTTCTGATCACACCTGGTGTGTGAATTCAAAGTGCTTTATTTAATCTAATTTGTAATGCTTTGGATTTAAAGGATATTATTGATACAGTGTTAGTGAATGGTTTTCTCTGCTAGAGAGAGGAAGAGAAGTTTGCTACTTTTACATTTTTCACAAGCAGTTTTCTCAACCTAAAATATTTTACTCAGTTTTTTTTTTTTTTTCCTTAAATGTAATTGTGGTAAGTTGATTAGTTACTGCATTTTTTTTCCCCCACACATCTGGGCTTCTGGATTTTGAAATCCTCTCCCAAATTTTTCATGTCTGTCACAACATCTGTTTAAGAAGAATAA